AGGGATACATTGGGATACATTTTTAGTGCAGGAGCGTACGGATCAGGTCAGCACAGAAAACGGACGTCGTGTGAACAGGCCCTCAAACATTCAATTTTGTAATGAATGACGTTTCTTGAAAGAAACCACATTCACTGTTAGAATTTTAAACATTTGATTGTGGAATGAATGGAGGGGGGGGCCTTTAATGGTTTCTTGCACCGGGGCCCTGAGGTTTCTAGTTACCCCTCTGTTTCAAGGGTCACCTTTTATTCACATTGTAAACCCTCTTTTTTAGGGATTATTAAAGTTTGTGTCAAACTCTGTCACCGTCATTTTCCTAGGCAGCTTGGTCTGCATATGTGGTAAAAAAATATGAATATAGGCATGTGAAATAAAAAAGGAACTCAAATTCTGAATACCATACGTATATTATTTGCATGCAGTTCGTTATTAGCATGCAGTATTACGCACAATAACGTTCCTTTAAAATGATTCTATTTAATAAGTAATGTACTCCAGCTTTCACAATCACAAATGTTATGTTTTCCCATGTACACAGCATATCTAAAATAATTTATAAGAGGTTTCCTACTTTATAGATGTTTCTTTGGAGCAGGCCTCTGGGCAGACTGCAAGCTACTCTGAACAATTTTAAAGTGAGTCTGTCCCCAGATAAAGTAGGGACAGAGTGTGTTTCCTCTCATTAACATACAATACTTCTAGAATGCTAACCCTTTGTTAGGACAATGTTCAAATGTAGCTTACAGCTGACAATGAGATCTGACAGCACAGTAGAGACAGGGTTAATCCTGATAAGTATTACCTTCCCAGCCCCCGCCTAGAAATTACAGGGGGTGGAAGAAACTTTAGTTCTGGAGTTTTTAGAAAAAATCAAGTAACATGGTAAGTCACAATTTATAATATCTGTGCTATGTGAATGGAAACATGAAACACATTTAAAAAAAAAGTGTTATCCCATTTTGGCTGCAAAAATAAAAACACACTTCTATAATAAAGAATAACATACAAATACAACAGGGACAGTGGGAACCCTTCATAATGGCCACAACAAGTGTGCAGAAAAAGCAATATAAGAGCAGAGATCCCACTAATAGAGTCCTCAACAGGTAAAATAAATTGTGGTGGTTTGATTCTCCAACATCTATCAAAAACTGAAAGAACAGTTTTGGATGATCTGACCCTCTAAAGTGGAAACCCCCTTTAAACCAGTTGTCCTTACAGGCAGGGCCGGAGTTCCCACAAGGCCAACCGAGGCCGACCTCGGGGTAGCAGGGAGTAGAAGGGGCACCAGGGGTGTGGAATTCCTATCTCCCAACGCCCAGGACATGCAGTTTTGGGCGCCGGGTGGGTAGTTGTTTTCTACATTTAGCCCTGCTGTGGGCAAGCAGAGCTAAATGTACAGCGGGGAAGCCGCCACTTGTTTTATAAAAGTGATCTCTGCGATCTCGCCAACATCACTTGTATGCAGCCTCCATACAGAGGGGCGCATTGAGGAACCTGGCCTTGGGGCAGCAGAGAGAATAAATCCCGCCCTGATTACAGGTACTGAATTCATTGCCTGACATTTACAGTATATATTTGATTGTATCAACTCACGAGTCACCCCACACCTCCAGATCTTTGCTGTATTACTTACTCTTTTTGAGATGCTTCTTCTTAGTTTTTCTGCAGATGCCACTGATACCACTGACAGGTTTGATATCCTCTTTGCTGACAGGAGGGGGGTGCAAGATAGGTTTAGGGGCTCTGGTTAAGCAAACAGGCAATCCAGCTGCGCACATCAGAATTCCAGTCATTCCTGTGGAAAAAAAAATGAAGATAAAATGTTTGTTAAACAATTTATAAAGCAATAAGAGCTATAGATTTCTATGTCTTTGTGTTCATAATAACTAGTTGATTTGTGTTTTGTATTTTTTACATGCCTGTAGGGCAGCTGAACACAGCGCCGCAATCTTAATTTCTTCTATCAGTGGGTTTAAGCCAAGTACACAAATCATTTGTATATGGAAGCGGCTTTACCTTTCAAAGAATTTGTATTTTCTCCATCCAATTCTGAGATTTAAACAGCTCTGCATAAAGATGGGGCACCGGCACTCCAAATAGTGAATAGTGCGTCTTTTATCAACGTAAATGCAGCATATCACGTAAATGCAACGTATCAGGGTCACGTCTTCAGGCAAGACATGTGATACATTGTAAGAATGAACATACATATACAATTCATACATATACAATTCACTTGGGTATACAGTATATATACTGTATGTGTGTGAACAGAAATACATGGGGAATTTTCCAATGGAGACACTGGTTCTGGTGAACCTACTGACCACCAGGGATTTTACTCTCTTCCTACTGTGGCTATCGGACAGGAAGTAAAGGGAAATCTCCCCCATTGGACACATTTCGGAAAAAAATCTTTCAGGTGTTATAACCCTCCCTTACTCTGGTTTCAGTTCTACTTTAAAGAAGAATTCCGTGCAAAATAAAATCTTATCCCTTGCTACCCTTGCAAGGGTTAAGTGCTTGTTTTTGTCTGGTGTCTAAATTATTATACTATACTTACCCGAACCTTGACCCCACCTGGCTGCTAGACTGGTCGCTGCAGCCTCTCTCCCCCTCCGCTCCAGCAACCTGTGAGTCATCACGTCTAATACATTGTAGTGTGTATTAGATGTGAAGATGCCGGGGGACATTCCATTGTCAGACCAGAGAGGTAGAGAGGTTGCAGGGACCGGTCTAGCCACCAGGAAAGATTGAGGTTTGGGTGACAGGAGTAACCCCAATGCAAGGTGTACAGGAGTAGCCCCAATGCAAGGGTTACGTTTTATTCTGCCTGGAGTTCTTCTTTAAGCTCACTGTTGCTGTTCAAGTTGGAAAATCATAGATTAAAGTCAACTAAAATAGAGCACAGTATGACAACGCACCCAGCTGTTTTCAGCAGCACCATGGTATAGGTCTGCCCACTGGGCAGATTATTTTATCATATACATGGACACTGTTCCCAAGGGGCCTGCCTCACAGTTCTTCTTTATAAGATGGAATATTTTATCTTAAGGCATGCTGGATCTAGATGCTTCCGTCTGCATTACGTCTATTTGTTTTCACTTTAAACAGTTTAGGCAACAAGCATCTTGGTACTGACCTGCCAGAGCTGGATGCACAGGGCCTGTCCCATTGAGATTCTTCACGGGCAGAGCTGGTACCCTGAAAGAAAACAAAGACAGCCAGTGTAAGTGAGCGGCATACAGATCTCACCATTGCACCATGTCTGAGTATAATTCCATACCTCATGTTTTCATGCCTGCACATAATAATAAATCACACAGACATCAGTCTCACATGATTTCAGGATCAATATACGGACATAGACTGCAAACAAGCATCATGAATTATGGACATAACATGTCTGTATTACTTGTTGGTTTCACTATCAGGCGACAGCTGAGTATACCGCCTACCTCGAGTCATGGTCATACCAGGTATTATTGCATCTCCTTTTTTCCTTTTCTTTGAAAGGCCTTAGCTCTGTGCCCCCTCTGTTCGAGAGAGGGGGGTGTTTCTCCCTGGTTTTTCTCTTTCTCACTGGTTTTTCTTTCTGTCTTTGGTTTGTTCCTTTACTTTGCCCCCGCCCCCCCCCCCTTCCCTTTTCCCTGTCCTCGTTTGTCTCTTTTCATTATATGTTATGTCTTTGTTCTTGCCTGGGCCTTGTTTTGTGTGTCCTACATGTTTCAGAATGTAAGTCCTGTGGGCCTGTGTACATGTCTTTTTGTGGGCTACGGACACATATGGAATATTGTTTTTTTTAACCTAGTTGGCATGCGGGTCCACAATGCGGGTGGTACTACTGGCCTTCCGCTTAGTCATTCCCCTCAGGTGTCATGACTTATTGGGTGCATCAGTCTCGGTTCCTCATTTTCTAGGGTCCTGTGTACCGCCATACTACCTGGGCATTTCCTGTCTATGTCTATTTCAGTGACCACGATGGTAACTCATAACTCTTGTTTTAGTAACTCTGGAGCTTTCCCTTCAACTTGCTTATTTTTATTTGTTGGGTTTTATGTCTTTTGGGCAATGCTCATGCTGTTATCTGAATGCTTTGTATGCCGAGCTGCCCGTGTTTTGTATCTCTTATTTACTGCATTGTTACGCTCACAATTTCAATAAAATGTTTGTGGAATAAAAAAGCATTTTACTGTATGTTCTTTTAGGTAGGTCCGGAATTCCCACAAGTCCACCAAGGCCCGGCCTCGGGGCAGCAGGGAGTAGACGGGCAGCAGGGGTGTGGAATTCCTATCGCCCGACACCCAGGACTTGCAGTTGCGGACGCCAGGCGTTTATTTTTTTTTCTACATTTAGTCCTGCTTCGGGCAAGTAGGGCTAAATGTAGAGCAGGGAAATCACTGGTTATTTTGAACAAGTGATATTGGTGATGTCGACGAGATCACTTGTATGAAGCCTGCAGGTCAAAAAGTAAATTGAGGAACCTGGCTTTGGGGCAGCAGAGGTAGTAAATCCGGCCCTGCACTTAGGACTCATTCACAACCATAGTGTTGGGCAGCGTTGCAACATAAGAACAAGACAGTTTGTCTTATGTCCTATATCTTCAGTTCAAACCAACACGCTGCGTTGATGTGCACTGAAAAAAGGGAGTTTGATTTTTGTGCAACGCATTCCAGCACATAAGAATTATATACAGATGTAAAAAAAAAAAGCAAGCACTGCATTCACAGCAATGTTTGTGTGTTATTATGCGTCAATACGTGCGTTGGTGTGAATGAGCCCTAACAAGGCTATTTAGCATGCGGGTTTGTGTCCATTGTGTAGAGGTGATGGAAGGCACCGTTTACTTTTTATTTATTTTTTTAAAACTTTATTGAAATGTCACAAAATTACATTTCATTAATTTCTCCAATGCAATGTGGTGACAGATGGTGACTTCAGGTGAGCAGCAGTGTGTTGCGGAAAATTGCAGCAGATATACCTTTTTATGCAACGCTCAAGGCAGCATTGTTGTGACAACAAGGCACATAAAAACAACTGTTATCAGGGTGCCCTGGCATTGATCCTTCATTGATCTGTGCCAATCAACGCAACTCAACTGAATTGGTGTGAACGAGCCCCTAAAGGGAATGTAAAATGGTTTTGCATGTATGTGGTTTCTCTACTGAAACAATGTTAAAAATCGTTTTTTTAACATTGTCTCACCACCTAAACCACATCAGAAGTGAGTAATTCCTTCTTTTTCTTTTCTTTGATACTGAGTATTTGCTTGCCTAACACAGCGCTTGTGTCCAATATCAGTGACTCTTTGTGACCATCACTAACGGTCACTAGATTCTCATCTACATCAATCAACACAGGGCGATATCAGGGAGGACTTGTTTGTCATTTTAATTGATTTCAGATGTTCTTTGTCAGTAGGTGTATTTATATGTTTTTCTACTTTTATTATTAATTCTCATTAAAATTTTGTTACATTATCATTACCTGTTTGATTATTATAGACAGCTCCTATTTTGGGATTCCGTATTTTCGGGGAACTTTGCTTATTATAGATTGACGCTGGAACCCAGGAGTTTTTTGTCCACTTTATTGTTATTTGAGGCGCTTCTCCTTTCCCCATTTGTTATTATATTGCATACAAAAGTTCTGTATTTTCCTTTTCAGACAGCAGGTGGAGCTCTGGACTCCTTTTCACATTTGCTAGACTAGTCTACCTGTTTTTCTGAAAAGAAAGCCTGCTGTTTACAGAGCTCAATTACCCTGAATGTTTGCTCTGCCTCAAGTGTCAATTGGAGAGAGGAAGCCTGTAGGTAAACAGCTTCTATTGCCCACTTGCTTCAGAGTAACTATAATACTTGGGTAATCATGGGTGCATGTATATTAGTAACAAATAATACAAAAATAGATTTGAATCATCAGCTTTAAAAACTTAAAGTGACACTAAACTCAGGAGTTCAATCTTAAAAATGCATTCAAGTACCTTAACTATTAACAAAATTGTATCTTATTTGTGTATCACTCAGCTATAGATCCTCAAATCATCTCTGAAGTAGTCATCACTCCAAGCTCACTCCCATGATGGACTACAATCTCAATACAAACTAGTAAACCAAACATGAGATTGCAGTCCATCACGAAAATGAGCTTGGAGCGATGGCTACTTTACAACACACAGGGACCATGGGGAACAAATGTAGCCACCCTCCAGAAGGAAGTACAGTGTCAGCACCAATTCAGAGATGATTTGAGGATCTATAGCTGAGTGACACACAAATAAGATACATTTCTGTTAATAGTTAAGGTACTTGAATGCATTTCGAAGATTTATCTCCTGAGTTTAGTGTTACTTGAAATAAAATAGACCCACAACCAATATAGGTTCTATCATGAACATGTCATGATAGAAATATGAGAGCTGACATTGATGACTTTTTTTTGTAGGCTGCTTTATCCATGGCATCCATGCTTATCCTCAGCCTTCACTAATACTGACCTGGAACATGCAAGTCAGGACATTTGACTGCATAGTTGTATCAGGCCAGTGACATTTAACCCCTGACACTGGAAACCAGGCAAACACTAGAGTTGATTGCGTATTATGAAAAGACCCTTTACAATATAGAAAACCCTTTTCCAGTATGATATTTCACGTAACATGAACACTTGTCATTTATAGAAACCTGACATAACAAAGTACATAATTGTGCGGAGTCCACTTACCTTCCATGCAGTGTTATCTTCATGCTGGTCAGTCTGTGTGTGGCTATACAGTACACAGATGAGACTTTATAGCAGCGCTTAGAACTAGAAAATCTAAGCTAGATATATACCTGTGTGTGACCACGTAGACCTCCCAGGGGTGACATCACACAATGCGTACAGCCAGCTTCCAAACAAATACACCACCTGCTCACCCCATTGATAAACAAGGATTATGAGAGATTAAGAGCTGAACGCTGTATCCCAGACACGTAAGGGATACACGCAGCTATTTATATACACGAGATTATGGACAAATGATCAGAGCTACTTCTTGGGTCATAAGTCAGGACATTATTTTCAGTGTATTCCTGGTATCATTGCACACATTACTGCTTACTAAATTACACTGACTGCTGGACCTCAGGGGAATGCAGAGGAGAAAAGTTGTAGCTTCTGAAATTGCCCTCTAAAATGCAATCTTCTACTTAAAAAGAGTCAATTTCTGCTGCGCAGTTCACTGGCAATGACAAAATAGAGTAAACCATAGCAACCAGAAATCACCCTGCGTTAGAGTACAAAAATCAAGCGAAGGCTCAGTCATATTGTGGGTAACAGATTTTAACTGTATATACCATAGTTTTAAATTAAAGTCTATTTTTGTTGTTACACTGTATATTTTATTGTACTGCTCTGAGCATTGCTCCTGTAATTTACACTTTACATCAATGAGTTGATTCAATAAGGCAAAATGCTTTGTGCCAAGTTCAGCATCCCATGGAAGCCAATGTGAGTTCATATTTCTCTAGTTCATCCCAAACTTGGTTAAAAACCGACTTCGTGAACACGGCATAGATTATTTTAGCTCTTTGCATTGCTTTGCCAAATAAACCCAATTATGTGAATCCTAACTTAACCTCGCATTAGCAGATTTTATCAAACATTCACAAACAGCATGTTTAAAAAGGTAGAGTAAGCAAAATATGAGGACCTCACATGTACAGGTTTGTTTTTTACTTACCACTAGTGATGCACTGATACTGGTTTTTCGGTATCGAGTATGAGTACCGATATTTATTTTTTTCGGTTCTCACCGATACCAATTTCGGTCCCTGTGTGTGTTGTAAAGTTGCCACCGCTCCAAGCTTACTCCCCTGATGGCCTACAATCTTGCGTTTAGTTTAATAATTTGTATTGAAATTATATCACAGGAGTGAGATTGGAGCGGTGACTACTTTACAACACACACAGGGACCATGGGGAACAAAAGTAGCCACCCTCCAGGAGGAAGGACAGTGTCAGCACCAATTCAGAGATGATTTGAGGATCTACAGCTGGGTGACACACAAATAAGATACATCTTTGTAAGTAGTTAAGTTACTTGAATGTATTTGTAAGATTTAACTCCTGAGTTTAGTGTCACTTTAATTCCCAGGGTTGTTGTAAAACTATAAACACTATAAAGTGTTAATGCAGTTTGTGGTATGCTGCAGTTGAAATGT